AACAGCTATGCTCACAACATTGTACTTTCATTATGATTTAATTTCTCGATAGATAGTTAATCAGTTTTTACCTGTTTCATCCCGTGTCTCCTCTCCCCATGACCCCTGGCTCCCTCGCTTTGCCCCATTCGGTTTTCAAAATAAATCAGTCTCAGTTGCTCTCGCGTCATCTCATGCTGCATTCACTGCAGTCTGATATTGGAAATTAGCAGCCGTAATTCTCAAATTATTCATAATTAATAAGCCTGGCCACCCCTACCACCAACCGGTGTGGCAGCAGGGGTGGCAAGGCTGTCATTTAGGGTAGCATTTGCCACCCTATGCCACCCCAGTAGATCCGCCTATGCCTAGTTGAAATTTCAAGTTTGGCAGCCCGCACAGACCATCAATATACAGTGCTGCATATTTACCTGAAAAATTATTAATTACATCTCAAATTAAGCTTACATTTAACAAGTTATGCAATGTTCCAGGGCTCTCAACTTTCACACATTGACACACATTTCATAAACTGCACATACTCATATACCAGCCTTGTAATTTCTCATTCTCACAAGAGATACACAACCATCCACACACTGACACCTAAGGACAATTTAGAGACTTTTGAAGGAAGACAGAGTACCTGGAGAGAACACACTCATGCATGGGGAGAACATGCAAACTCAATGCAGATAGACCCTGGGCAGGGAATCGAACATAGAACCTTCTAGTTGTAAGGCAACAGCTCTATAAACAGCCCCACCCTGCAGTCAGGCTCAAAAATAAATTCTCAAACTAAAATGTAGATTCTTTTTATACTGCTGCTATTTTAGGTAACACATTTAAAGAAGGAAATGCACACATTTTGTTGGAATTACTGTTCTAATTTTTCTGGTCAATTCGTAATGCGTCAGCATGTAGTACAGCTCCACAATTAGCTAAAATGTGACCTGTGATGTTTGTGGGAAAGCAGTGAGAAATTATTGCAACATTGAAACCTTGTCAAACACTGCAGGTTAAACCACAAAACAAAATATGCAAAATTGATAACGAGGACAGAGATGGAGAGCACATTTGCTGCTAGACAGATGTCTTTTACAGAGCCTCTAGGTTCCTCAGGCAGGCACAGTGCAGTTACAGAGCAACTCACTTTTTCTCAATAGATGTATTTCTGCTCCTGCGGATTATTGCATTCCTTCTCAGCAGCTATCAAGAGCTGCAGAGTCCTGTTCATCACTTGGTTATTTAAGTTAGGTTTGTGGAGACAGGGAAACTTCTAAATATGCAGGACAGTGGGTCCTGAGGAACACATTTCATAACCACTGTTACAAACCAGTCACATTATTTTGCACATTTAACAACCACATTAGGTGTACTTGCAAAAAAGTATTGCATCTGTACTGTCAGTATCAGACTGTATTTTGTTCGGTATCTAATCTTAGGGAAATTTCGTGGTATCCATAATATTTGGGAATATGATTAAAGTTACAGAATTTTTCCATTGTCATATAAAACATTTTCATTAAACAAATTCGAAAAGGTATCAATCAGTCTGTTTACTTATGATTTAAAATAGTGATTTTGTTATCAGTGCTAAATATCTCTTTCCAAGCTCAGATCAGAGCTTAAGAGCCCTGCTTTAACCAAGGGGAAGAGGAACAGATGTAACAGAAATAATGATACAAATAAAAAAATTAATAACTTTTTAAACCCAATATAAAACTTACTGTAAGTAAGAAACTTAAGAGAAGAAGCAAAAGCTTATGTGGCAATACCTAAATTAACATTGTTATACAATATGGGAATAATGAAAACACAAAAAAAACTATTCAAAATGACACCCCAAACACCTGCAAATCATGAATTAAATTTTCTGTTGTTGTTTTAGGAACATAAAGTATACATTTTAATTGCTAAATTCCCAAAACATACATTATTTGCATATTTTAATGCTAGCAGTAACAAAAAAAAAAAAAAAATAATAAAATCAAATCATGGCTTAATAGGCTCCTTAAAGCTAACTTTTTCAACTGCAAACAACCTTAAAAAACATTTTACTCACAAATCAGCACTGAAGGGGTTTGGCAATTTTTCCTTTTTTAAATTCACTCTTTCATTAGGCACTTTTTATATCATTTTCACAAATACATTCGAAACATTTCTAGTGTATACAGTTTTGACCACAAGGGAGTTAACCCAAAACTCAGTAATATAATCTTTATTCCGTGTAAGCACATTAGCTGGCAATGTCTTTGGTTGTGTAAATAAAAAAACTGCTTTCTTGCTCTTTGGTTACGTACAGTATAATCTGCATAATCAGAAAGAGGAGTTTAAGGCTATAATGTCTCATACAAACAGTGAAATATGAAGCATGGCTATAGGCTAAATGGTAAAGTATATTACAAAGGAAGGCACATAGGCCTGAATTACCCACTGAAATCTTTGCAAAGCTGAACTGCATTTCTGCTTCCATGTGTCCACACAGACAGTCACTCAGTCAGTCAGTCACCCAGCAGATGCCTCTTTCTCTGTGAAAAATGAAAATTTGCTCTTACATCTAAATCTCGTATTCAGCCCAAATATAGAGCTTTTAAATATTGTTAAGTAGGGCTACCATCTCTTCACATCCCCAAATAAAACACCCCATTATTCATTTGAAATATCTTAAAATGTAAATTCCATTCATTGGACATACTCAAGGATTCAATGATTTGTTTTGTTTTTTGTCAAGCCAGCTCATATTTGCATGTTTGTTGCACACCATCTTGACTTGGTCACAGTTCAAGAAGCTTAATATTTAGAGTAAAAGGCAGGGAAAAAGAAGAACATGATTTAAGTGTAGCTCCAGTTCAGCAGTCTAATGGCTCCAGGGTAGAAATGTTTCTGAGCCTGGGGCGACAGTGACATCATCTGTAGTTTGCCCTGAAATCGAAGGGTTGATGGTTCAAGCCCTGGCTCTGGCTTTCAGTGTCGTTGTGTCCTTGGGCAAGAAACTTCACCTGCATTGTCTACTGATGGTGGTCAGAGCGCCTGGTGGCGCCAGTGTATGGTAGCCTCGGTTCTGTCAGTGAGCCCCATGGCAGCTGTGGCTACAATGTATCTTATCTTGCCACCATCAGCGTGTGAGTGTGTGCGTGACTGAATGTAGTGTACAGCACTTCGGTCAAGTTTCCTGACTGGACTTTCCAGGAAGTCCAGTTTTTTAGTGTGAGACTTAGTCCAAGTGAGGAGAGCCTCCAAACTGTTTAGCATTTGGGGACAGGGACAAAATTTGTCACACAGAGGGGCATGTCATTGAGTGGTGAGTCTGGGTGTTGGGATTCTTAAAGTGGGCAAAGAACCTGGAGTGCATCTGGCAATGAGGGGTCCCATGAGCATTTTGCATCTCTGATTTTGTAGTCCATGATGCATTTGATGCCCTTTCACACCCTCCCCAGGTCATTAGTGCTGAAGTGACACTACATTTTCTAGCGGTATGGCTTTGGTGGTCTTAGCTCTAATCTCAGCGTTCTACCAGTTTTTTCTCGTTCTGATAACAGGTTACTGTACTGGTGGTGGTGCTGACAACATCACTACACTTGGACATGAAGCAAAGTAAAGAGGAGTTGTATTCCTTTTGGTCTACCTTTACCTTTGCCTTCCAATAGGTGCACTGAAAACAATCTTGGAGAGCATCCCTGGTCCACAGAGTGAATTTTTATTTAGTTGGCCTAATCCATCCCATCAACGGTCAATATTCTGGTGCCAGGAGGATACAGATGTGGTTGGAGAAACCAAGATAAGGTTGAGAAAAGGCTCTGTATGCACAGTGAATGTAACTGCACATTAAGTCCAGAGTGTTCTCTCCCCGTGTTGGAAAGGTGACATGTGGGTAAAATTTAGGCAGAATGTCAGTCAGTTTTATGCCTTAAAATAGCCTGGAAGGCTGAGTCTGGCATGTTGCTGTTAAGCCAGGTTTCAGTTAGGCAAAGAACACTCAGCCTCAGATGTGAAAAGTCCACTTAGCCTCACAGGCTCCAAACGAAGATCATGAGAGATAAGAATTAATTCACACAGCTTCCTAATGGCATGAAGGGGAGGGCTGTTGTTTTCAGAAGATCCATCTGGCTAGTGAAAGATATGTTGACCTAACAGCAAAGTGCTTTGATGAACTCAAGTTGTTTTCCTCCAAATTAACAATTGTGAGAAAGTTATTTATACAGGGGGTGGGTTGGTTCCCCTTGGGGGAGTGTTTGTTGGGATTTTTGTAGGGTATAAATGTACAGTATGTACTATGGTTGCCTATCTCTCCATCTGAGGATGTTAAATAAATTTCAAAATTTTTCTTGCAAGAAATGCCCCTGCCTCAGCTTACAAACTCCACATCTGGTAGCTGAAGAACCCACTAAGATTTGTGTGCCACCATGGGAACCAAAATCAGAGAGGCATTACTGCTTTTAACCTTGCTGTACTCTGATATTTTACCTGCAATTCTTACTAGTTTTCTAACTTTTGCTCATGATTTCATTTTATTTTTTATCACAGATCTTATCCTTTTACATAGGAAGGAATCTTTTCATTCCATAAAACTGTTATTTGAATATAATAGAAAACCCTTTTATTGTCCCACACTTGTGGTATTACAGCAGCAAAAGATTGTAGCAAACGTGGTAACACACACGTGGACCTTAAAAAGAGTATAAAAATAACAAAATAAGTCACAGAGTAAAAAAAAAACTAATAAAATACAGTACTGTGCAGCATTTTTACAGATATAAATACTGTGCATCTGGAGAATAAATAATCAATATACAGCTATGGACATTTATAGATATGAAAGTTGTACTTATTGTAAAAAGTGTTGTTGGGCAAATTCTTTAACTTGAGGTTCATTTTTAATGATCTGTTTTAGAGATTATATTTATGCACCATTTATGCATACTTTTCTTGTGTTTACATAATTACAAGAAAATATAGGAAATCATGTTATTGTTTTGTTATTATGACTCTTTTGATGCCCTGTATTATTGTGCCTGCAGGCTGTGAGAGTGACTACTGGGGACCTCACTGCAGTAATCGTTGCCAGTGCCGAAATGCAGCTAAATGTAACCCTATAACAGGAGCCTGTGTTTGCACCGACGGGTACCAAGGGTGGCGATGTGAAGATCCCTGCGAAAATGGCTATTATGGCAAGGGTTGCCAATTGCCCTGCCAGTGTCTCAATGGTGCAACGTGTGACCATGAAACAGGAGAGTGCATCTGTGCACCAGGTTACACAGGAGCTTTGTGAGTACCAGCAACATACCTGCTTCTTTGATGCTTTCTGGGACAAAATGTGGCATGCATTAAGAGTCTTGACACTTAACATGTGTGGTGGCAGCTGTGGGGAGCGGTGCCCCTCCGGCAGTCATGGACCACAGTGTGAACAGCGCTGCCCCTGTCAGAATGGAGGAACATGTCATCACATTACCGGCGACTGTTCTTGCCCTGCTGGGTGGACGGTAGGTCACAAAAACACCAAGAATGTAATGAAAAAGAAAAAAGCCTCACACATAGAAATACCTACATTTCACTGGAATGGTGTTTAAGACCAATGACATTGTTCATGTACAAAAGAAGAAAAACATTTTTTTTTCTTAGATTCGTTGCAGAATAAACTCATATATGGTAGCCTTCACACATGTTGAAATATATATTTTTTTTTACAAAATCGCTGAGGCAATAGCTAATAGCTAACAAAAATAAAATGAAAAACTGATGTAACTAGGCTCACATTATTAAAGCTTAAGGAACACTTTTAATGACAATGATAAAGCACAGAGACACATTTTTCAAAACTAAAAAATTGGAAATAAAAAGAAAAAATAAATTGATTTAATATTTAAACAACAATAGTTTGTTTTTTAAGTAAGTCAGGGAAATGAAACAATAAAATTACAACTTTTTGGCATCGCCAAATGGTGAGAGTGATAAAGTAAAAGTTTGAACCGACTGAAACAATAAAGGCTGAATGTGCCCACACATTTTTCATTTCACCACACACTGAGCACGTTAGTATTAGAGCTAGTAAAAAAAACACCTCTGCTGGAGAATTGGAGCAAAAAAATCAAATCTTTTTCTGTTTGTTTTTAGTGAGACATATATTTTCATCTGTCCATTGACAGAGGATGAAAAGTAGCCCATTCACTAATTCTGGGGTATTTACAGCATTGTATATTTACATATTTCGTCCTGTTATATGAACTAATTAAACCAGTAAATATTAGAAGCTTTATACAGGACAGGAAGTTGTTTCAAGACCTGCCAGTAAATATACCTTCTGTTCTACCATCAAAAATGTCAATGTCTAGTCTGTTAAATCCTTTGAACATAAGCTTGAACAGTTCGCTCTGATCAGTCGAGAATACCAGTACATGGGGTGCCACGGACTTTTAAAAAAAAAAACAACAAAAATTATTCTAAACTTTTTTTTGTGAATAAATGTTCACTAAATTAGGGCTAAAAATAATTAATCTGATTAATAATAATTAATAAATTATGGAAATAATGGTCAACTAATTTACTAATCGATTAATCATTACCAGGAGTTTATAGACTGTAAAATATGCCTTTATGTGACAGATCAACCAACCCTTGAGCGGCAATTATACAAAAATTGTAAATAGCTTTTTTGTCCATCAATATGCTCTATCCAGAACTCCTCAAGTGGAATCGTTTGAGTTTCACCTGGTTTACCTTTGTAAAAATTCTTCTTTAAGGAACCCTTTGCTATTCGATTATTAATCGATTAATTGATAAAGTAATTAACAGATTGCTAAATACTTGTTAGTTGCAACCCTAAACTGAATATTCTAATGTTTTTTTTTTGTCTGTTTTTTTGCATGCCACTAGTATGGTTAGAGCAGTGCACTTGTGCTCTGAGACGGCTGCAAGTACCTGGGTGGATCCCCAAAGCCTGCACTCTGGGTTTCTCAGCAAGACCCTTAAGACCACACTGTGCCACACAATGGCAGCCCACTGCTCCCCAAAGGGGATGGGTTAAATGCAAAGATTTTATTTCCTGATTGTGGGACAATAAAAGGGAATTACAATTCTTAACAATTTTATGTATACATTAGGTATACCATGGGTGCCAAACAATGAAGAACAGCATTTTGTAAAAGAACATGGCATATCTACAGTCCGATATAAACACAAATCAGTAGGTGCCTAAGGCGCATCAGTGTAACTAAACTGTCAGGCTTGAGAAAAAGCGTAGTCTGTGTCTCTTATGGTAATCAGTTCTGTCTGTTAAAGGGTTCAGTGTGCGCTCAGCCCTGCCCTCTGGGCAAGTATGGCATCAACTGCAGCAAAGACTGTTCGTGTCGCAATGGCGGACTGTGTGACCATGTGACAGGAAAGTGCCAGTGTGCAGCTGGATTCAGCGGACGCAGGTAAGCAGCCAACACCTCCGGCCCAGACACTTCATCCGATTGTCATTCTGGGAGGTACTCAGAGCAGACTCGCTCACTTCTGCTTAAGCAGCTGGTCAGACAATGGAATTATTTAACAACATTTGAATCTTACGCAAAAGACCAGTTTATGCAGACTTAACAGATACTCGTTGACCTATTCCCTCTTTTTTTATTTTCAAATGAGAAGTAAATCTGGCTTCTGTTTTAGAAGATAAAGGCAAAGCTGTAAAATTTTTCTCTCATGAGAAATAAGCATTTATTAACATCCATTACTCCATCTGAAGGTGCACTGGAAGCTTTTAATAGGGGTATTTATGCCTAATTAATCTTGTACTGTGTGCTGGCCAGAAAGGTTTCATGTCTGGAGGCCTCATCCACATTCACTCCTCCCAGTCTGTCCATTGATCTTACCGTGGTCTATGTGCTGTTTGGGTTTCTGCTCATTAATTATAAGTAATGGACTTATATTAAGGCCTCATCAACATACACGGATCTTTTTAGTTTTCCATGCCTGCTGGAGAAGCCCAGGGCAGCCAGCGGTTATTAGTCTGACTAAAGCAATTGTCTTTTTGATGGAAACACCTCCTTAACAAGACCTTTCTTTTACTTTATTATTTTACGAAATTGCCCTCATTCATTTTGTTAGTGGCAGGTGAATGAATCTGCCAGGAATAATCTGAGATTGTGTTAACCCTCCCAGCTTCTCCTGTCGAGTATAATATTTCAGTTGCCCCATGATGTTACTAAACATAAGGAAATTCAAACATCAGGCATGACTTGAATGCTTTCCTATGTAATTGAACTGTTTGTAATGGCTTTGTTAAACTCCAGAGACTAATAATGCACAAATAGTGTGGAGGGAAAATAAAGAGAAGGCAAGCACAAATTCACTGATCTGGTTGCTTCTTCATATAGGAGAAACTCTCAAGTAATATTAATTTTTCTACATGACGATGACTGCCAAGTCTCATGGAGCCCCTGCAGAGACACTGAGGTACTCACAGCAGGCTCTACTTTTAGAGAGTTTTTGAAAAGTGCTTGATAAAAATTGACCATGCCAGTCTGGGTCTTTTAAAGCACATAGCTATATTTTGGATGTTGAAATGTTAATAATATATGTGGTTATTAAAGTAAGGGTTTTATTTAAACATGAAATAGCCACTGAAGTATTTAAATTTAAATTTTTTTGCATGGCAGTGGGGTAAATTATTTATTTTGTAGGTTACTGTTGATCCATTTTTTCCTCTCCCAGTGCAGCAATTTAAAGTAGTGTCATTTCATTGCAACTTTCCCTTAGATGTCAAGAGGACTGTCCTGTGGGCACCTACGGTCCACAGTGCAACCATAGGTGTGAGTGCCAGAACGGTGCAAAGTGTCATCACATCAATGGAGCATGTCTGTGTGAAACAGGCTTTAAAGGCCCTAATTGTCAAGAGAGATTCTGCCCCCCGGGTCTTTATGGCCTCATCTGTGACAAGTATTGCCCTTGTAATACCACAAACACTGTCAGGTAAGTGAGACCCTCTGTGCATTGCAGCACTTGGCAGTGGGTGATAAATGGAGTCGAGGTATTCTTTGGTTTTGCACAGGGGTCCAGTTTTTACTCAGGAAACTATCGGAAAGACGAGTGTTCCTTTAAAACTACTTTCTGCTTTATGAATCCAAGTTACCCTTACTTTAAGCTGTAATAGATCCCATTCAACCACTTTTGATGGAACAACATGCCTTTATGAGTGAGTAGTAACTTTCTTAATCTAAAGGTTACAAAAAAAATTTGCACATTATTTTTGGTTTACATCATTCCATCATGTTTATTTCTCTCCACATGTTTAACTTTGTATAATACTCTGGAGTTTTTAGACTCCGATCTCCATTAAGTTAAAGAGATCAAGACAGTATTGAAAAACACTTATTTCCCAGTAAGATATAAGTAATATAAATTAATTCTTCACACTGCCTAAAAGTGAAATTACATGAAGTCTCTATAAGAGGGGCTTCCTCTGCGTCATTACTTGTCTATGATACATTACTTACTGTTCATAGAAAAGATGACAACATCAGCTCAGTTATAGCCTCTTTGAATTTGCTCCCTGTTCATTTTAAGATTGTGATATGTTTTAAGCTTGGTTTATGAGTGACATGTCCGTGAGGTCCGCTTGGCAAAATTACGTCAGACAGAATTTCCCATTTCCTTGGAAAATTTGTAACTACGCGGACGGATCCGCACGGAAAACATGGCAGCGGATTCGTAAATCTAAATGTCTACCGACATCCTGGGATTTGGCTCATTTATATCACCACTATCACATTGTGGACAAACTCCAGGAAAGAAATTGGCTTTGATTAAGTTGTAAACAGGTTTTTTTCTACTTCCTCATGTAGTGTGGTGTTGTCAGCTTGCTGTTTGTGCTGAATGTTTTTGCCAATATTATCATTTACTGCAATAGTTAGGTAATTGAAATCCTTTTTATGAGTGATTAGTTAATACTAAACCTGATGGTTTTTATTTGCACATAGCAGCAGCAATGCTTTCTAAATATTGACAGATTCAACCCAATTTCTTGGTTTTCTAGGTTTGTCCTTTTTTTTATATTTTCAATTCAGTCCCTGTGTCATTCCATTTTTTTATACCAACGGTTTTATATGTGGAAATATTTTCTTTTTACTGTGGCTTAGATGGGCTGTTATCCATAAATGGTCTTACTTTCATGTCAATGGTGCCACGACATGTTTTATAAGAAAAACATTAACATATTCAATAACTATTTTGCAAGTTATACAATTATTCTTTTATTTTCTCAGTGCATACAGTGTCTTCCTAAATGTGGGTTATTTTTACTGAAGGCTTTTGAAGGCAACACACGTTGTGGTTTCCCTGTGAATAAGAACCTCTGTGATTTAATTTCATCTCTACTTACCTAAAAGCCAGCAGTCATTCCGCAGTCTGTAGACATCCTAACCATGTCTCTCAGTTAGCTTTTAATCGCGACCTTTGCTTCATTCATAATTCCTCAGAAACATTCATAGTTAATGCAGTGTTAATGCTTTGATTCCTGCAGGAGCTGGGCATTGGCCATATAAGTCATTACTGAATGAAGGAGAAAACGGACACTTCATTTATCTGAAACAAGCACGTAGCCTACAGTTGCTGTAGGCATCCCACTTAGATCTTGCTCAAACATGAAGAGTTGATCGTTTCAAAGGTTACTTTCCTTACCTTTTCCCATAATGCTGTCTTGTTTCGATTTATTTGTAGCTGCCATCCACTATCTGGTGAATGCACATGTTCACCAGGATGGACAGGACTTTACTGCAATGAGACCTGCCCTCCTGGGTTCTACGGAGAAGGATGCTATCTGTCTTGTAGCTGCACCAACGGAGCAGACTGTCATCCTGTCACAGGCGTCTGTACCTGTGCCCCTGGCTTCATGGTGAGCTTTGTGTACTGAAAACATACATAGCTTTTCCAAAAAGATCTGTTCTCTCCATGTTTAATGTTAATGTTTCACTGATTTCACATGTTTCTCTTGTGTTATTTCTGCTTTGATTCTTTATATTTATTTATTTTTTTAAGTTGGACTTAATTTCAAGTCAACATGTGTAGATTAATATGTCTTCCAATGTTCTGTGATATGGGAGCTGCCTTTTTTAATCCTATCTTATGAGTTTATTTCAAGGAAGAGAATATATGTATAAACTTTTAAACTGGTCTTGAATAAAAGCTGTTTTTCTTGACAAAGTAAGTGAAAAACACTATAATGCAAACAATTTAAAATCACTAAAAGCGCTCAAACTTTAGGTTATAAGTTTCTTTCCAATTCTAACTGTTGCATCATTTTCCTAAAGACCAAAATTGTTTGGAAAAGCTGAGTTTCCATAAAAAAATTGTATATAATTAAAGATAAATATTTTCTTTTATTCAATCAATTCAAATATTAATAGTTAAAGTAATGAACCATTGTCCTTTTTGTAAAAGTTCCAGCATATTAGAAACATCTGTCACCAAAATGTCCCTCTGATCTATCTCAGTTGGACCATCAGAAGCGCAGTGCGGTCTGCATGGTCCCTTTTATTATAACATGTTCTAATTGCTACAGAAGTCATGCAATACAATTTCTTGGTTGGGCCGTATGTTAAAATTGATCCATTCTTTTCCTGGAGTAAGATGCCATTTCCTTAGGTCATGACTTCATGACTCTAATAAGTTTAAAAAGGGCTTAAAAGGAAAAAAAAGAACAAACGTTCTGTCTCTATGTCAGCATTTGCCGTAGATTAGTGTTGCACTTTCATCATTTACAGAAACCTGTGTTGTGGCAAAACTGCTGCCTAAAACAAAGGGGCCCTGTTTGCAAATTCTTTCTAATAATTTGTTCCAATTTTTTGAGTTGAAATTGAGAACAATTGCAGATAGGTAATACAATTCTACTCGTCTGATGAGATATATAATTGGCTAAATCATGATGCTTCTCTTTAGTTACTCTTTACTTACATAACATAGGATACTAAACACTAGTTTTCATCTAGTTTTTTATGTGTTATACTGTAGGCAGAATTTTCTGTTACTGAATGGAACAAGAATGAGACTAAAAGGAGTATGAAAGTAGCTCAACTCCAGAGATAAAAATGTAAAAGACTTCCGATGAAAGCTTGATAAAAAACATTTGAAAGTATTTAAAAATTGATGGCTTGAAAGGAAAACAAAAACAAAATTGAGATGTTTGCAGAGTCTTTGCTTAAGTAAAAGTAACTACTGTTGCATTGCGTAAAATATTTCCACCTTGTAATTTAATAATGTTGTAGTTCTGAAGGTTGTAGTTTTAATTTATGTTGCATGTTATCTGTGGCTGCTATAAAGAAAAAAGAAAAAGTCGCTGAGGCCAAAATGTTTTGGAAGTGATCCCAGTTTCTCTTTAGGCTCTTTTTATACACAGACGGTTAAAATCAAGGTGAAGATGTTTGTCATGGTCATTGATATGCTTTGTTAAGGCACCGGACATCGACCCAGTATATTTCAGTCAACAATGAAGCCCTTTGCCACAAATTTTGTTTTTAAATTCATCACAAAAAATATATAGGGTCACAAAGACAAGTACAAAGCAAGCTCAGACCTGTGCTCTTGTTCCTTCAAAGCAAAACAAAGTTAATCTTTGGTCAACTCCATTTGTAGTTCTTTTTCTTGTAGCCATATTGTCCCCTTTTTACAACTGTCAAATTAGTTGAGTAACTCCAATCAGTTTCGCCATTGTATTTTGTGTTTTGCAATCTGGAGTTACGGAGCAATAGAGACCAGGAGAGTCCACGTCTGCCAATGTTACATTTCAGTGGAAATTGCCTGTGTCTTACAGCGAGCCTCTGTGGTGAATTGAGCTACCGAGCGGGGCTCCAGACTGTGTCTTAATTTGCTCCACCTGTTCGCTGTGGCGGCTGCTGGGAAAGGCTGCCAGATCCATTAAACAGACCTAGAGGGCAGAAGCTGGATAGGAAAGGCGGCAGTCAGATGGGAACAGACGCAGCTCATATGGAGATTTTGTGTGTTTGTGTGTGGGGAAATGGAGAGGTGAACATTCATTGTTTTTCTTGTACTTAAGAAAGCTGCTGCTGTGCAAACCATTGAAACATATTGTTTTGCATTTAGACGTCTGTAGCTGCTACCTGTTTGTATTCAAGTTGCATGCTTATTATCAAGTGGAGGTGTTAAAATGTGATTCATGATGCTATGATTGCCAGGGAAGTCCCTTTCTCTGGGGATCGCTTATAAGACTAAGCCTCCCCATTGCATTCTTTTGTTCTGGAGTCCCATCGGACGGCAAACCAAGCAAAGTGTTGGAACAGGCTGAGCACCGGCATGCTTGATTTAGTCCTAGTAATTGGACATGCTCTTTTTGGCTCGGACAAAGTGATTACATGTTACCTATTCAGGCTCTGTCCCTTACAATCTGCAGAATGGGCACGGTGTAACATGCAGTTTCTACACACTCTGTCCAAAGTGCTGCACTTGAAACTGAAATCCTGTAGGAATCTGTTCCAGTTTCCCTTTGTAAAAGAAAAAA